TTCATAGTTTTCCAATTAAAACATTGTCACAGCATATAAAATGTGATTTCCCATCCAGAATATACTCCATAGTGGCTTAATCATGCATTTTATCATCAATAATTTTCCATTTCTAGTTTTATATATATATATATATAAATATATATATCCCCTATTTCTGACCCTCTGCCCTATCCTACCCACCTCCCACACTATGTCTAGTGTCTACAGTTGTTTTCCATTCCTTTTCCCCCCACATTTTATTGATCACACAATTTCTTAAATAATCTAATTAATTTCAATAGCAAGTTCAGCTGGTAATTTCAAGAAAAGCAGTTTTAACTTTAATAAATATAAAAAAAAATGCTAAGGAACATTGTGTAAAACTTAAAGCCAGGAAACAGGTTAGGATTCGGTTCAAATAGTAGGTACATGAACCTATCGACACCTCAAGACAGGACAAAAATCCTTAAAACTGGAAAACAAAGCCTAGAAGAAAATTAACAATGTTTTAGTCGAAAGTCATAAAATACTGTTTCACCAGTTCAGTCTCATGTACTTAATTTGTCTTCTGTTGTGGTTCAATCTTCCCAATTAAATTCTGGGATATAATATTCAATTCCAGACTTGTCCCTATGATTAAGTTGGCCATTATTTTAGTTTTTAAACTCTTATCTCTGTGTGACTGTATTTAATTTTCCTGATATAGCACTCCTTTAAGAACTTCTTGGAGATCTGGTCTGGTGTTAGTAAATTCTTTCAGATTTCATTTATCTGAGAATGTTCTTGTCTTTTCTTGCCATGTGAAGGAAAATCTTGCTGGGTACAGTATTCTTGGTTGAAATTGCCTTTCCCTTAACACTTTGAATATATTTTCCCATTCTTTCCTTGCTCACATGGATTCTGATGAGAGGTCTGCTGTTAGCCTGATGGGATATCCTTTGTAGGTAACTTGACATTTTTCTCTTGCCAATCTTAGTATCTTGACTTTGTCTGTGGTTTTGGTCAATCTCATTATAATGTGTCTTAGAGAAGATCTTCTTGGGTTGATTCTGTTTGGGGTCCTCGTATTTCT